ATTATTATCGAACATTCGACAACATTATTATCTGTGGGCAAAATAATTTGAACAAATTTATCTCAAATTAATTGGGGAGGTTTTTCCTGATGGCCTGGCAGTCCGCTTTCGAGATCCCCGTCAAAGCTCCCCTGAACTGTCAGTATCAGGATCACGAAGTGTTGCCGATGTTTGCGTCTGCACTGGTAGGGTTGAGGTTGTTAGAGACTCGCCCTGGTTCAAGAAATTAAAACTCGATTTTTTGGGATGCAATGAGCTTGTACCAGGTCGGCCGTACAATTAACTTGACCTGTTTTGCACGGAAAATGATCCAATGAACATGAAGTTCTCTCATTATTACCAGGAACCTCTGAGATGTCATGCGAGAGGATAGCTGGAGATATTGGTGGGGGCATGGCGGTGTCAAAATCCTCCATGTTGATCGGAGAAGGTGAGCGGTTCGACGCCGCAAGATCAGCCTCAGCGAAATCTAATCATTATCCCGTTCATGCTCAAATCGTGCGTTGATTATTTTTGAATAACTCACCGTCTCTGTCCGACTCAGAATCGGATCCTGAACCCGCATCTGAATTATCATCCAATTCGTCGCTGAGATTGAATATATCAACAGTAATTGTCATAGGTAAAATTAAATGACTGTGTACACGAGAGCCAAACTCGAGTTATGGGCCTCAGAGACGACAAGCCGAGGAGCAGGTTTTGACTTCTTCAAGTTGGACCGATGCTGCGGACCTTTCTTGATTTTCTCGAAGACTTCCCGGATCAACTGCTCTTCATCGGAGCCCAGCTGCCAAAGCTGTGCGTGCGTCGAAGGAGCGATACGCGGATGCTCCTTCCGAAAATGAGCTACTAGATTATAACGCCAGACTGTAGGATCTTGCGGCTCACATTCTGGACAGCGGATTACATACGCAGACGAATTCTGATCCATTCTGCTAACCTGCTCAGACGCCGCTTTACATAAAATATATATGATGTGAACTGAAGAGAAAAAAACATACGCAGAAGAGGGGGTACGGTGTTGTGTGGTTTGCGCCGGGTTGGCTCTGAATTACTGTTAAACATGCAGTGGTTTTCAGGCAATGAGCAAGGTAGGTGCACTCCGGAACCAAATAAGTGTCAATGCTATCAATTTGGCTGACTCAGCTGGTTCCCTCTACGGTCCGGCGTTGAGTAAATCAATGACTGATTTTCAGTATTTTTCTGAACCAGAGCGTCAGAAGCTTTGAACCATCTGGAGCGACGCATAGCAACAAACTAATTATAAGACAACTTGGGCCACGTGGCTTGTTGGGGAACTGTAACTTGACTGTAACTGTGTTTGATCTGAAGGGCTGCCACGTGCTCACATTGAAGGGCCGATATAATTATCTGTGTCATATTGTTGTGAAACAGGCTGCGTACAGTGCCCGTCATCACTTCTCTGCACGTGCCGTTCATGGCCAAGGAATTTTTTGTATTTTTTTTCTGATTTTCTGAGCCACGAAACCGGTCAAAAGAATGCTATTGGTCACAAAAAGTCATTTTTTCCCACGGTGTTTCACTTTTCTAGGCTTCTGAGAAAAATTTCCGCCTCCAACTAGGTCCTGGAGGGCTTTTGGAGAACCAGAATCACTCAGGAGCATTCTAAGTACAATTTCCTTGACTTCTGTAGGCTGCTGGGTGTCTAATGAGATGAAGTAGAACCAGAGCAGATCTTGGGTAAGTCAATAGGGGTGTCCCCATTAGGGAATTCCCACGCTTGCAACCCTAGGCTGGGGTCTTGTTTCACTTTCCTGACCTCGAAAATATGAATATTGATCGGACCCTTCCACAAAGCACAAGATATTAAGATACAGTTCTTCTGAGCTCATCTACATAGTTTCCAAGCCAATAAGTGAGTTGACCAAAATGTTATTACAATTTCAATATTTTGTTTTGTTTACTGCCAAAAGCGGAACCGTGATGTGATGACGGGCACTGTAAGAGCTAATAATTTCGCAAATTAACATTGTATACCATTTTCTGTTAAGATGGGCTGGCGAAATGATGGAGAAAATTTACAAAAGTTTTCACAAAGTTGAGTCAAGTTATCAGAGCAAGTATTTCTTGGGGAGCACCTTTAGAGCACCGACAGAACTCGACTGCCGAGCGGCGCTTCCAAGTGACCGGCACACGTGATCTGTCCGCGGGCGGCTGCTGGAGCTTCCTGCCGCTCGGCGCCGTCAAAGGTGATGCATCGCCTTTGTCCTAGGCGCGCCTCGCCATTGTCAAAGGCGACGCACATGCATGCCTTGCCTTTGACTAAGGCAACAGGCGGGCGTGCCTTGGTGCCGTCAAAGGTGACATGCGGGTGTGCCTTGGTGCCATCAAAGTCAACAGGCGGGCATGCCTTGGTGCCGTCAAAGGCGACAGGCGGGCGTGCCTTGGTGCCGTCAAAGGCGACAGGCGGGCGTGCCTTGGCGCCATCAAAGTCAACAGGTGAGCGTGTCTTGCCGCTGTCAAAGGCGACACATGTGCATGCCTCGCCTTTGACAAAAGCGACGCGCGTGCATGCCTTGCCTTTGACTAAGGCAACGGGCGGGCGTGCCTTGGTGCCGTCAAAGGTGACATGCGGGTGTGCCTTGGTGCCATCAAAGTCAATGGACGGGCATGCCTTGGTGCCGTCAAAGGCGACAGGCGGGCGTGCCTTGGCGCCATCAAAGTCAACAGGCGAGCGTGTCTTGCCGCCATCAAAGGCGACGTGCGCGCATGCCTTGCCTTTGACAACGGCGGCGGGGGGGCATGCCTTGCCATTGTCAAAGGCGATGCATGTGCATGCCTCGCCTTTGACAAAAGCGACAGGCGGGCATGCCTTGCCGCTATCAAAAGCAAAACGTGCACGTGCATCGCCACTGAGAAACACGACGCGCGCGGGTCTCGCCAATGACAAAGGCAACAGGTGGGTGTGCCTCGCCGATTCATGGCCGCATCTGCGGCCGAGTTGCGGCTTGCGCAAACAATACTTATGCTTGCCGTAGATAAATTTATCGTCAAACCTCTATATTATTTGCATCTAGTCTTTAATTATACTTTATCCCAATAATTGTTAAGTCAATCATAGAAAACAAGGCACGTAAATACAACAAAAGTACTACAAAGGTCTTTGTGACCAGTCACATCCCTATGCGTGGCATATGCATACCATATGCATCTAACGCATATGATAATCATATGCGTCAGTCCTTGCCCCCAGTGTGATTGTGTCGCACTCTCATTAACGCGCTCTTGCCGAGTTTGGTGCGTGGGATTGCGGCAACACAGCCTCACCCACTTTTTTTCTTCCCTCCCACTACCTTCGCGCCGACACGTCGAGCCTGCCCGCTCCGCATCCGTTCCAATCCCTCCAACGCGCTCCGATGCAGAGCGAACATTCATCAGCCTATTCCCGCACGCCACACTTCAATCTTTCCATGCCTCGGTACGTCACTCCCACCTCGCGACGCGCGTGAGCGCGGCAGAAGTGCGTGCATGGCCTGCCCGGTCCCGGTACGCCCATCCGCGCTCCCCTTTCCGTTGCCGCTGACTATGTGCACAGCCTCAGAATCCATCGTGCGCGCCGTCCCCGTGCAGCGCATCTCAAGGCGGTGCGGGCGCTGACACACGTCGCCAAGGATCTGGCTCCACTCTTTGTACACCTCTGCTCTTGGGCGTTCTCCGCGTCCGTTTGCACCGCCTGTCACCCGACTCAGTGTGTTGTCCGTTCTGCGTTGTCTGCCTACTAACCGTTGCCTCAGCCATCAGCACCCACCACTTGGAATACGGCCTTCCACCCATAGCACCAACCGCTCACGCTCACGCTCCAGCCACTCACCGTGGCGCTGCGCGTCCCCGCCGCGGCCAGGGCTACGTACCACACAATGCTCCTGCCCGGCTGAGTCCTGTGCACACCGTTCGCGCTGCGCGTCCGGGCGCAGGCGCGGTGATGCCCGGCAGTGGGTGGGCAGCGGACGTACCAGCGTGTACGTCCGTATGCCCCGCATGCCGTCTCCAAACGGTCGGTGCGTTTCTTCTCTCCTCTCCCCTCGTCCCCTCTCCTTCGCTAACCACCTGCCCCACGCCAGGCGTCCTCGCGATCTTCGTGGGGCGGCAGCGCGCGCTCCCGCCAACCATGCGCTTCCTCGCAACGCTTATACGCCCCCGCACCGCCGCTTCTACACGGCCGCGACTCGCGAGGGACTACACGATTGCCCCCCCGCGACCGCGGGCGTCCACCATCATGATCGCTGCTGCTGGGCGCGCTCGGCAGAAATGTTGTGGCCAGCCATTGGTATTGTATTAGTTGAATTGTAGTATATATATTAATAGACTTGAATACAGTTGTTTTTGTATCATCTATCGTGAATCTGAGTGTAATATCGCAAGAAATTTGAGGTGAGATATATGTGCACACATTTCCAACTTGAAGGAATCTAGGAATTCTTTTGAGGGGGATAAATATTTTGGGAAAATTGCGAAGTCGGAGGAACTGGAGGTATTTGCAGTCATTTTGTACGAAAATCCGTGAAAATTCCTGAGAGGGGGTTCCGCTGATGTCACCTGTACACTGGCAGTCTGTACTTGGCGGCTGTAGATGTTCACAAACAATTGTGTCACACTCTCCAAGTTGTTACATATTCCACTTATGTTTATTGTGTCATACTCAGCGTGGGTTGTGTCATACTCATTAAATTTATGTCGCACTTATGCACTTTGTGTCTGCCATCAAATGTGTCTAGGTGCTTCACTTGAATGGTCCCGCTGCCGATCCTACCAAAACGGGTAACTCTTATCACTCAATCAAAAGTTGAAACATGCGTAAAAAAAAAACTTCCGCCATGGTTTTCCGGAACTGCTGTAAAAGGTTCCAAAATGAAATAAAACACTCCATGCCTGTTGTAGCAAACAGCTGCAACAGTAGTTCGCCAGGCGCACGTAAGACGTATCCTTATTTGCCGCGCCAGTCACACACCAGATTTGTCCTTCAGGAGTATTGTAATGCCTCCAGAATGGTGTAGGGGTAACATTACCGCCTCTCATATAAGGGATTCATCAATGATTCTTGATAAGTGTGCGCGGCAGGGGTTCGATTCCCCGTTCCGGAATTTTTCAAAAGCTTGACCAGTTTTTTTTATAGTGCAGACATGACAACGTGAGTCTTTACCATCGCCAACGTTACGGTACAATTGACAAAACTTCTTTTGAGATGTTTGTGTCTTCCGGTGGTCTGTCCAGGCCTGGCCAGATTTGTTAGGGACAAATTGTGCTCCAGTATCTATGTGTTTGTCATGTGACACAGGGGTTCACTTCTGTGTACAAGATCGACTGGTTACCAGGGTAGTTTATACAGCCCAGACACATCATGTGAATGCCCTGTAGGCGCCCTCTCACTGGAACAATGAATGCATTTTATGTCATCGAACAACTAAACGGAAGCATAAAGAATTCCGTTTTTGACGTTTGTTTTGGTCTCCTTCCTCATTTTTCTCGTTTTACTCACCTACAAACTTGTCCTTCAGAGCTATTATAATATCTCTGGAATGGTGCAGGGGTAGCATTGTCACCTCTCATGCCGCCTAATTCAAAGTCGTGGGTGCGCGGTGGCTCGGGGGTTCGATTCCCAGTTCCGGAATTCATTACAGGCCCGATGTTTATCTTTTTCTACGCCAAATCAATGGCAATACTCACAGCTGCACGAGGACAAGGACTGCATGCAAGGGGACACTGCAGTGATATCTGGAAACACTGAACATCAGAGGTCGGACAAGGATAATTTATTGTCGAGCGCGCGCATTCTGGTGCGACAACACATACCTAACGTACGTCCCATCTGTTGTCATACTTGCTATTTCTAAAAGAGTGTGCCCCGCTAGTTTTGCATCAGCTGGACACGTCGACGGAAGTATACACACGAAGCTCAGGCTCGCCACTGCACCCGTCTTCAACCGTGGGGCCATTGGCCTGGGCAGATCGACTGGATGCGGTGATTGCCTTGTGGGGAACTCCTCTCGTTGCCAGGGGCAGATCATAACTATCTTCAGTAATGTGCGTATGTCCGGGTTTAACCGAGCACTAAATCGCCGGCTTCTGGAAATTTGATGGAATTCGCCAGGTGCTGCACCGTGCACGTGAGAGGTCTGTCGCCCGCCTTTTGATTTCGTGGCAAGAGTAGAGCGCCAGTCACAGCCCAGACTCAGCAAATTTCGTCCTTCAGAATTGCTAACATTACGCTCGCATTGTGGCTAACACCGCAAAGTCATGGCTGCGCGGCAGCCTGGGGTTTGATTCCCCGTTCCGGTATCTGCCTGCTGTCCGCCTGTTTTTATAGTGCGGACATGGCAACGTCGCTCAGTACTCAGTTATTACCATCACCTGGGTATCCGGAATGGTGTAGGGTAACATTGCCGACATATCGTCATCGCGGCAGCCCCGTTCCGGTATCACGGTTATGAGGTGCACAATTTTTTAAAGTGTGGACATGGCAACGGTTTTTACCATCACCTGAGTACAATTGCACTTGGTGTTGAACTGGAACGTCCCAGACACGAAGTGGGATAGGCCACCCAGGCTGAGCTGCCCACTCAAAATGAACCCCTCGTAGGCCCTTCATTATTATAGTGGGGGCAATACACCTAAATGGGGTCGGGTATAGGTGGCCTGAAGTGAAATTATAATGGTAGTTTCAATAGCCAGAGCTCCGTTATACGAGCAGGCCGGTGCGACTCGGAATTAAGCGCCGCCGAGCTCGCGCGGGACAATCTTCCGCGATCTGGTGCCCGTGACCTAAATTTGAACTCGCCCCCGATACCAGCACTGGCATCCAAGTCATACCGGACACATCTGCTATGAAGTAATAACTCCTTTGGCAAGTACTCAAAGACGTAGCAGCAACCATACTTTGGGCCAGGTTCGAATTCAGACTTGATTCAAGCTGGGTAGATGGTTACTGCTGCCAGGTCCTCGAGCTCACACGGCTCAAGAGCATGGCTGCGGCTGCTACGCGCAGACTCTTTTCGGGTAAGCAACGGCTCGCGAGAATTGTATTAGATCGCGACAAGAAGGTTACACAGAAAGACGTCATCCGGCCATGTTCCCCCAGGAGTGATTGGTTTACTACGGGCATCCAGGGTTACACCTGCAACGACTCGGACGTTAGAACCAGTACCCCGCATGAGGTCCAAGGTACGTACTCGCACGGGCAGCACTCGCAGTGTACTTGGCGCTCGAGGACAGCACCTTGAACGGAGACGATGGCGACAGCGAGAGCGACAACGATACGGAAGAACTGCATTTTCGTCACGAAGAATAATTACCCAGCTCATTCCGTGCCGCTTTTATATTTTTTTTGTACGCTGCGGATGACTATCACTATGTTGCGGATGGTTGTCATTGTGTTGCGGATGGTTGTCATTACTGTAGTATTATGTTCACTCAATTCGTATGTATGCGCGTAAGTTACAACTGGACCTTTCGTATGCGATCCCCGTTTAGCAATTTGATCCGTCGGCAGACTTCGGCTAAGCCCAAATTGTTGCGTGACTTACGTATGAATTTTGGCGTGAGCCTCCAGCGGACGTTATCCTACGTTATCAATGCCAACACTCCAAAGTTCATGTGGGTGCGTGGCAGCCCGGGGTTCGATTCCCCGTTCCGGAATAGATTTACCAGGATTCTTTTAGCGCGGACAGACAACGTGTAGTACTCAGTCTTTACCATCGGTACAATTGAGGGCCGGGGTTACGATATATCCGGGTGAACGTCGGTTATACGGGGCAATTGTTAGACGGGCCCCACAATTCTTAATCCGTGCTACAGCTGATTTGGAAACAATAGAGGGGTTTCGTAAAAAGTTGATGCTCGATTGGTGCTTACCTCTGTTTGGCACTGCGTCCCGCTCCACCGTCGTCATCAATGGCCCTCGCCTTCCGAGTCAGTTCCTTCGCGCTCTCTCTGCTTTCAAGGCATGGATCCGCCGCCACCGTGACTACACAGATGGGGCTGTGGCAGGTGGACCGAATGCGGACTCACCTTACGCGATGAGTTGGCGAGTTTATGAGTCGATGACAGCGGAGAAAGCCCGAGGATGGTCTGCACACTCGGGATATGTTTGATTTCATATTATACTTATCATACACTGCTCAAGTTGAGCTCGAATTTAAATAAACGAGTTGCAATCAGACGATGAGCATTGGTGGAGCGGTGACGCAGTGCCAAACAGAGGTAAACAAAAATCGAGCATCAACTTTTTACAAAACCCCTCTATTGTTTCCAAATCAGCTGTAACTGCACGAAATATCCCACGACACTCACGACACTGATGACTTTTTACGATACCATCTTCCCACTTGGGTTCGTCGAGGTACCTGTGCCTGAGCCTCTGTTGCGTAAACGAATATCACATTGTTAGATTGTTAAATCAGTTCTCCACATCTTACATAATTATAAGCCAGGAAAAATATCGTACCTCGACTTGTATTACGCATGCCAGTACGTGCGCAGCCCGCCGTTGTACTCACGGAACTTCACACAGAAATAAAGTAGCGGCTAAACCACGGTTTGGCCAAGTCTTGTAATTAAATTGTCCGGACTTGTAATTACAGTAAAATATTCCCAGGTCTTCTGACATCAGATTTGCACGTTTCAGGATGGAAGTAAAATAGCCAAAAGGGGTGCTCAATTCTTGGCTTTTTTGCCCACTTGAATTCAGCCCGAGTTTTTATTTGTTCGAAACAAATAGAGAGCCTGTGTTCCGATTGATCGCGACACCGACTGCCGTATTTTACGCGTGCTTGACAGGGTGTCGTAATACTTCGCGGCAGCTGCTGCCGAGCCTAAAGAAGAAAAATGTTACGATACCGTAGGATGTATGTGTTTTTTTCTCGCATTTTTAGGGTTAAATGTCCTCTTTGCACCTAGTAGAAGAGATGACACTTGAATGCTTTTCTTGAAAATTTGTCTGTTATTTGCTCGAGAGTATTACGACACCCTGTCAAACGCGCGTAAAATACGGCAGTCGGTGCCGCGATCAATCGGGACACAGGCTCTCTATTTGTTTCGAACAAATAAAAACTCGGGCTAAATTCAAGTGGGCAAAAAAGCCAAGAATTGAGCACCCCTAAAAGTGTTGCCCAAAAATCTGCCCGCATTGCGGTGGCACGGCATTTTCGGTCACGGTCCGTCTTTCGTCTTCAGTTTCAATGGCGCATATAATAATATCATAAATATATATGCAGCTGTAACACACAGGAGTAAATCGAAATACGGAAACATGGAGAACACGATTACCCCTTGAGAAGTATAAGTGTAATATGCTAATAAATAATCAAGTCCAGTAGTCCAATAGTCCAATTTATTATGTCCATAAATGTTCATCCCGTCTCAGTTCATCAGTTCAGCGACGCCACGTCGCGCTGGCCGTCGGCTTTCCAACGAGACTGCTGGTGCTGCTGGGGCAGGTCCGCTTCTGGAGGCTCCGGCGGAAATTGGGGCGATAACTTCTCCGCGCGTTCGCCGGAACCGAGTACAGCGAAAGCCTGAAGCCGCCACCGCATATCGTCCCACCTACGACAAACCCTCAGCATCAAAACGGAATGCGCGGAAAATATAAGGAACGCCACGAACTGTCTCCCGCGCACGGCAGGTTGCACTCGGTCTGGGGGAGCGCCAGGCCCGATCCGGGGGTGGACAGCGCGGCGGTGCCGCCGAGTTCGTTTCCGCAGAAACATTCGTTGCCCCAGGAGAGGCCTGCGAGCTTGTAGTTGGCGGCGGCACACTCCGCAATGCAGCGCGGGATGGTCTGCTCGGGAGATGTGGAGCTGAGGAAGGGGAGGGCGGGGTTGTCGCATGAATCGACGTAGCAAGGCGCGGGCGCGCCGGGGCAGGTTCGTTTCTCGAGGCTGCGACGGACGACCGAGCGGGCGGTTTGTTTCTCAATGGCAGATGCCGGAACGGGATATACCGAGAGCCTAAATCCGCCACCACAAATACTGGAAGCTGTTCGTCATATAACATCAGTAATGACGAACACAGTGCAAGCAGGAACCATGGACGAACCATCGCCCGAGCAAGGCGTGTTGCATTCGGTTTGGGGAATAGCCACGCCCGATCCGGGGACGTTCAAGGCGGCGGTGCCGCCGAGCACATTTCCGCAGAAGCACTCGTCACCCCCTGACAGCCCAGCAACTTTAAAACCGGCGGCACCACACTCCGCAATGCAGCCCGAGACGGTTTGCGTGGCTTTCTTGGAGCTGAGGAAGGGCAGGGAAGGATTGTCGCAGGAATCGACGTAGCACGTTGCGGAGGGCGCCGCGCTCGCTGTGGCCGTAGGTGTGGTGGAAACGGGACCAAGGGTGCTCGTGGGCTTGGGGCACGTCCGCCGTTTGAGGCTGCGACGGAGAGTAGATCCGCTGCTGCGTCTCGCGAGAGCTGGGACCGAAAAGAGCGAGAGCCTGAAGCCGCCGCCACATATGGTCCCAGCTGATGCCAAATTAAAAAACGTCAGTTTCACAAGAAAGGGCGGTGAACACGTTGACGAACCGTCGCCAGCACAAGGCAGGTTGCATTCGGTTTGGGGATTGGCTAGGCCTGAGCCTGGGGTGGACAAGGATGCGGTGCCGCCGAGTTCGTTTCCGC